TCAAGCTCCCCAAAGGGGGGCAAGAGAAGGTCACCAGAGGCCGATGAGAGAGAGGGGGCGCATTTGGAAGTGTGGGCTTTTGTTTGGGGGGGGGGACACTGTTTCTTAGGACATTCTATCCGAAAAACGCCGAAGGGGTGGGATGACAAAGGAACAGGTGAGTGTGACTCAACCCCGGGGGTGCCTACTCCTGGAGCCACGCTGGGGTAACGCCCAAGTTACTGCGGAATGCAATAATTGTTCAGGACCGCGGGGGCATCGGGACCTAAAGGCACATTCATCCAGGCTTCCCCAGGCCAATCTGTCTCTGAGGCCTGTCACTCCCAAATTTCTGGGAAACCCATAAATCTACCCGTGCACTGTTAATTAGCCCACCAATAAATAGGTTAAGTCAAAAGAGATAGGACATTTTAAGAAACCTATGACTTATACTGATCAGATAATGGAGACAAGGTCAGCCTAAAGATCCTGAGAATGACCAGGACCACCATAAACCATCTGCCGATCACCAGACTGATGTCATTCCTACGTGACAGGCATGTGCCACCATGCCCAGCTCTGTTTGGTTTTGACATGTTTCCAATAAATTGCTGACATCTGTGCACTTTAACCTAAAATACTTCAGGCCACGTATTCCTTTCCCTTTCAACATTTGTTTTTTTCTTTTTTTTTTTTGGTATTGGAGATTGAACTCAGGGACCCTTATTTAACCATTGAACCAATCCCCAGCCTTTTTTATTTTATTTATTTATTTATTTTAGTTTTCAGCACAACATCTTTTTTATTTATTTATTTATTTATTTTAATGTGGTGCTGAGGATGGAACTCGGGCCGCACGCATGCCAGGCGAGTGCGCTACCACTTGAGCCACGTCCCCAGCCCCCCTTTTTATTTTTTACTTTGAGGCAGCATCTTGCTAAACTGTTCTGAGCCTCACTAAATTGCTGAGACCGCCTTAAACATCCAATCCTCCTGCTTCAGCCTCCAGAGTTGCTGGGCTGACAGGCTTGTGCCACCGCACTCCACTTAACTTTTTTTTTTTTTAATTTTTTTTTAGTTGTACATAACACAATAGCTTTATTTTATTTATTTTTATGTGGTGCTGAGGATCGAACCCACTGCCTCATGCATGCGAGGCAAGCACTCTGCCACTGAGCCACAACCCCGGACCCTCAGCTTGACTTTAATTCATGAAGACAGGACTGGGGATGTGGCTCAAGCGGTAGCGCGCTTGCCTGGCATGCGTGCGGCCCGGGTTCGATCCTCAGCACCACATACCAACAAAGATGTTGTGTCCGCCGAGAACTAAAAAATAAAGATTAAAAATTCTCTCTCTCTCCTCTCTCACTCTCTCTTAAAGAAAAAAAATTCTGTATCTTTAAAAAAAAAAAATTCATGAAGACAGTCTCTTTATAAAACATGGAAGCATACAAAGAGCATGAAGTTGCCCTCTACCCTCGTGCCCTTCAATCCTAACCCTAGAGACAATCATGGCCACCCTCAGTTTGGGTCTATCCTTACACATCTTTTTCTGAGCTTTCCATATGCCTACATCAGGCCGTGGAAGGTAGTATGGTACTATTCTGCAAGATTCTTTTATCCTTTTTTTTATTTTTTTCAAACACAAATAAGGCTGTACTTCAAAGTCATTCTGCAGTTGGTTTTTCAGTCAATATCTTTCTATGTCGGCATATATTTCTATCTTACTCTGTCTTTGGTGTGGAAACACTGTGGGTTTTTAACCCAGAATCCTTCTGGTGGTTGTTTATACCTGGTGTCATTCTATCCTTTTCTTTTTTCTTCTTTTTAAAGATTTTTAGGGGGGCTGGGGATGTGGCTCAAGCGGTAGCTCACTCGCCTGGCATGCGTGCAGCCCGGGCTTGATCCTCAGCACCACATACCAACAAAGATGTTGTGTCCGCCAAGAAGAACTAAAAAATAAATATTAAAAAATGTTCTCTCTCTCTCTCTCTCTCTCTCTCTCTCTCTTTCTCTCTCTCTCTCTCTCTTAAAAAAATAAATTAAAAAAAAAGATTTTTAGGTATAGGTAAACAAATACATTTATTTATTTATTTATATGTGGTACTGAGGATTGAATCCAGTGCCTCACACATGCTAGGCAAGTACTATATCACTGAGCTACAACCACAGCCCCACTATCTATTTTTCCTTTTTGTCCAGACACTAAATAAATAGGTTTCTGTGTATGTGGGCATGTGTGTGTTTCATATACGCAGTGTAAAAAAATCTCTTGCACATAAAACCTAAGGGATGGTCTATGGAGAGTTAAGAACAACCCTGTGTTATTACAAGAAGAGCACAGGAATCACCTGGCTCTTCCGGGATGCCCAGGGGACTCTTGGGGACACTGATGTGTACCATGCTGTGACTCACCACACAGGATGCGCTGGTTGTCACACTGCCAGGAGTAGCGCTCCAACTTGGGTCTGCAGCCAGCCTCCTCTGCGCGAGTGTAGCAGCAGTCATGGTGATAGCAGCACCTGCAGGTGTCACACAGACAGGCCAGCAGGTGGGTGCCTGCAGGGAACTCCTGCATCCTCCCTTGCTGGGGCTCCGGGTGAGTGCAGACCCCTATGGTGGAAGCTTTATCCCTGGTAAGCTCAATGCTAGGGAAAAATCCCACTGGTTCCATGAGCCCTGCACAGCCTCCATCCCTGGCCACTCCCAAGCAGCCTCCTTGCCTTGCTCTGAGCCTCTGTGCTCCAGCCATCCCAGCCTCCTTTCTGTCCCTCCAGCGAGCCAAGTCCCTTTCACCCCAACTCTGTCCATGTGGCACCCTCTGCCTGGGCACCTCCCCTTGGGATGTCATGGCCTCCTCCCGTCTCCCCAGGCTATACTGTCTCCTGTCACACCCTTTCATAAAACCCAGGATCCCTCCCTTCCGGGCAGGTACGTAAGGAAACCCTCATTATAAACCTCGTTAACACCCGTCTCTCTGGGATGACCAAAGTTCTGTGAGGACGGCACCCTCTGTCCCAGGCCCTCCCGGCCTCGATAAACACTCACTGTTGAACAGTGACCCCGGGAACACCCACAAATGCCGTCAGACCCGTCATTCATTCGTCTACCCACTCATCCATCCACTGGTATCTCTCCACTTGTCTGAGCCCTCAACAGACCGGCCCAGGAGGTCAGCCAGTTCCTGCTCTGCTCTTAGGAAGCCCCCAGTCTGGGGAGGGAGACAGATAAGCCGCCAGACACAGGAGCGGGAAACACGTTAAACAGAGGGACATTGAGCCAGAGGAGATGGCAGACCCAGTGAGGCTCCAGAGAAGGTTTCCTGAGGACAGTGTGGCTGAGCTGCCTCTGAAGGACACGCAGGAACCAGCCAACCAGAGTCGGGGAGGTCGCTACCGGTGGCAGGAGCATCTGTGGCTCAAGGGTTAGTCACCAGGACCTCCAACTAGGAAAGAGGCAGCTGAACTTGGCACAGTGTACCTATTAGGGGTACGAGTAGTTGCACCCCTTGGAGCCTCAGGGCCTTCATCTGTAAAATGGGGACAAGCACCATGACTATCTCCCAGCTGGCCAGGAGAGTAAATGAGGAAGTCACAGGAAGAGCTCAGCCTTCCAGGATCAGACCCTTCTCACATGGTTGCAGAGGGCAGGGGTTGGAGCATGAATGCAGTCAGACTGCCCGAGTTCAAATACCAGGTCCCACGCCTTACTCTATGCAGCCCAGACAGGTAACTTAACCTTTAACCTTTAACCTCAGTCTCCTTGTCCATGAAATGGGGTTGATGTGAGGATTCAAAGGGATGCTCGGAGCAGTTCTGGTGTGTTTAAGCCTGGTTCTAGTTATATTACCTTCTAGGCAGCATAGTTAGCTGTCACCAAGACGTGTCCTCTCTGGCCACATAACCCAGGAGGCAGCACCCCATGCTGGGATCTTCCTGCACGAACCCCCAACTTCAGCTTTGGGCACTTCCTCGTGGGCCTCAGGGGGCAGGAGCAACTTCTAGCCTGGACCCCAATGGACACTCACCAGTCGATGGCATCCTGGGGCTGGCCATGGCCACCCAGGCCACAGTAGCAGCCGTAGTTCATGTAGGCCATAGGGGTTCGGGTTCCGACACAGTTCAAAGTCCCTGCCAGTTCCAGGATCCCACGCCGGCGCACATGTGACCTCCTAGATGCTGAGCGGTAAACAAAGGTCAGAGGCTTCAGGTCAGGACTCCCCTGGCCCTAAGGAGGGACATTAGACTGCGAAGGGCCTGGATGTTGCAGCCTGTCTGGGTTCAAATCCTGTTTCCTACCTGTGTGACCTTGGACAAATTAGGGACCGCTGTGTACCTGGGTTTCCTGATTTGGGAAATGGAGGAAAAGGTAACCTCCCCTAGCAGAATAAAATGAGACGGAGTGTGCAGCCTCTAACGCCTACAGTCAACACCCTCAAGGCAGCTGTGAAAGGAAAATGAGTCGCAGACTACACCAAGTAAAAGGTGATGCCATGGGCCTTCGTGCTGGCTGCTCCCCCTTCCTGGGACACTCTGATTCCTGACACCCTGCCCCTGTCAACTCTAGACACAGTCTCTTTGCAAAGTTCTGCAGTAAATGCTAGTTCAGCTGCCTGTACGGGGCACTGCGCATCAGAGATGACGTCACCAAGTGCTCCTGTCACCGAGGAGCACTCCTCAGGGGGCTTACCAGTCCCTGGGCTCCACAGTTCTCACCCAGACTCTGGCTCAGGGCCTTTGGATCTCCTTATGTTCACTGCCTGGGAGCAGCGTTCTCCTAGTTCGGGAAGCTCCTCCGACCTGGGCCTGGCCATTTGTCTGGATCCTGGCACAGCCCTGACACATAACAGTACCCATGAGCTGTGCTGGAAACCCTCGCAGTTGACAACTGGGAAAGAAGAGGCCATATGGGAAAGGTGGCCCTCATACAGCCCATAGCCCCTAAGCTGGGGCTCTGACCCAAGTTTCTGACCCATGAACCAGTGTCCCTTCCTCCCGGCCCAGGGACAGCAGCAGCAGAGCAGAAACTCATGCCCGGGCTTGTGTCCTGGGCATCTGCTCCCCAACACACCAGGCCCGAGGTCAGCGCAGGTGAACGCCTAGCATGTAGACACCACTTTCTCTTAATTAGGACCTGTCTCTCTACAATGGCTCTTTGGAGGAGTCCAGGCCAAATCCAAATGACGTCGTATTGTTCACAGTGGGAAAAAAAAGTAGCCTATTACTGGTGGTGGGGGCCAGAGCTCCCTTTGTGTCAAAAAAAAGAGGAAAAGGCAAAAAAAAAAAAATGAGTTTAGAGTTCAAAAGTTTACCTGTCCTCACTCTCCCAGCAACCTACACAGCTGCCTCAAACCTTCCATGGCTCCTATGGGCTCTGGATAAAGCTCAGGGGCCCCACTGCACCCCAAGGCCCCGTGGGGGTCAAGTCCTCCCACTCCTCCAGGGCCTGCTCTCCTGCACCAGGAATCCTGTGCTCTCTCCAGTCATACCCGACACATCCACACTCTACTGCAAATGCTCTTACCCAGTCTTACCAGGCTCACGGACCACCTCCCTCCACAACTGCCTCAGCCCCCAGGTGGCCCCAGGGACCCTTGTCGGACTGTGCTGCTGTCTGCTTAAGAGGACGACCCTCCAACCTGGGTGATATTACAGAGCAAACCTCTGACGGGCAGCTCTGAATGCCCTGGCACTCGATAGGCTTCCAGAAAAGGTCCCTTGACCCCTGGAACACATCCACCCTAAGCACCCCGGCCAAGGGCCCAGCCTCAGTACCACATTTTGAAGCTTTCTGCAGAGTTCCCACCACCAACACCACCATCTGACCACTCTCTGGCATCCTGAGGTCTAGGAACAGACCTACGAAGGGCTCAGGCATGGGGCGGGTTTGAAACCAAAGAAAACACTCCCTTTGTGCCAACATAGGTGGGGCAGGTCAGGCTGGGGTCTGTTTGCTCTGTCTGCCCGCGGGCAGCCTCCTTTGGGAGGGCTTGGGCTGGCAGGGTATCCTGTGAGCCCCGGGTCCATGCATCTGTACTTCGCAGTGTGTCCAGGGTTCATGTGAGTTTTCCCGGGGGGGCTGACTCGGGGGTCCCTGGGTTGTGCATGCAGCTACTCCCCTCCAAGCATTTTGCTGAATCTGCAGCCTGGGTCTGAGGAGTTGTGCACCCCAGTGCCCAGGTGAGGGAGGTGCTGTTCCTGGGTGGCTGTCTTAGGGTGCCTGTATGTTCCCTGAGTGTGCTTCTCAACTGTGGGCTCCAGAAATGGGCAGCCACCAAGGGGACCTCTCTGAGGGTGACCCCAGGGAGAGATGAGAAGGAGACCATATGTTCTTCACCCACCAGCAAGCCCAGCCCCTCTGCCCCTGCTCGCCACCCCCATGAGGTCTGAGATCCAACCTCAGACCCCGCAGACAGAGTGATTGATGGTCAGCTCACAAGAATGGGGCTCAGGACAGCCGGGGTAGGGGCTCTGAGTGGCTCTGGAGGCTATTTGAGGGGAGGACTCTGAACCTCTGGGGAAGGTCAGGGCTGGTTCTGAGTCCTTAGGTAGAGTGTGCTATGTGGGAGGCCCTGGACAGAAGTAGGGGACAGGGTTACTGCGTCCCTGGGATGGATGAGTGGGTGGATATCAGAAGAGAGGGCTGGGGGTTGTGCAGCTCCTGGGGACCTGGGGCAGGCTGGTGAGTTGGAGTCCCTGTGGGATGCCGAGCTCCTAAGTCCCTCGGGAGGGCTGGAGGAGATCGGGTCATCACTTACCCACGCTGGGTCCGGGGCCAGGTCCCAGCAGCAGCAGCAGCAAGAGTAGCAGCATTATTGGGGAGCACGGAGGTAGCAGACCCATGGGAGGGTGACAGGTGTGGGCCAGGCTGGCGGGCAGTGCAGTCTTCAAGCCTGGCCGACCCCCCACCTCTGGCCCCGCCCCCGGCCTCACCTTCCCGCGGTCTGGGCGGAGCCAGGCAGGGGCGGGTATCAGGGACTGCCCGGAGCCTGCGTCCGGACCTCTGCGTGTGTGTAGGTCCCCCAGTGGGCTGGGAGGCCAATCAGGTTCCTGGGGCCAGGAGGGAGAGTCTTGCTCCCGAGTGCCAAGAATTAAATAACATTCGTTGATATCATTACCTGAAGCGCCTGTGCGCTGCTCACCTGGGCTTCCAAAAGGAGTGGAGGCTCGGGGGAGAGGATAGCACCGGATTCATCTCACCATTTTTAAGATACAGGACACTTTGCGCTCCTGTTGCCTCTCAAAATCAACGCTCTACAGTGTCCCTGCTACTGCTGCCACCATAGTGTAGGGACAGGTGACCAAAGTTTTGCCCAAGGTCACACAGTGCCTTCTGGTAAAAGACAGGACTGCGATGGGGGAGGGCAGGAAGACCACAACCACATCTTCCCACACCCTCCTGCCTCCCGTTTCTCTTCTGTCCAAGGGTCACGTCGCTTCCTCCAAGAGGCCTCATGAGCCAAGAAAAGCGTACACAATAGGTGCCCGATACAGAAAAGAAGTGACTATTGTGTGCGGTATCTGTTGCTTTTTTGACTCTGATGCTCTAGCTAGCACTACCCAATTTGTCACCAATTTCTGTTGCTTTTACCTGATAAGTAAACTGTCAATGGAACCCTGCACACCACCTTCTATCTCCATGGCCAGACTCTAGGAACCATGATGCAGTAGGTAAAACTGCCACTCACTGGCTATTTCAACACCACCAGCAGCACAGATGGGTGACCTGAACACAGACCTGAGTCCCCTTTCACCAGAAAGCCCTAAGGATCAGGGAAGCCAAGTGAAGTACAGGAACCCAGATTCGACCTCATTTTCACATGGTGCCGAACCTCTCTGCCTCCTTCTATGAAAACCCAAGCTTTGATTCCTAGCCTGCCACCTGGAGGAACACTTTTCCCACTGGAGTGTGAGCTCTTCTTTGGGCAAAATCCAGGTCTCCTTCCTCTTGTATGTTCAGCCCTTCTCTGCCTGGCCCACGGTAGGTGCTCAGTGAAGGCTTTCCCATATACAATAAGGGTTTCAGATGGCCCAGGACTTGGGGTTGGAGAGAACTTGAGTGACAAACCTCAGTGTGCTACAATCATCAGGAAATGAGCCAAGATTCCTTTATGTTGGCACTCAGCCCCCCTGCTCAGGGTGGACCCCCTGCAGACAGCTAAGTGCCTTAAAACTGAAGTGGAGGGACAGGATGAGAAATCAGTTAACATGAAGAAGAGAAAGGTAATCCTGAAACCTACCTCACTTCCTCAATCATTCATTCATACATTCATTCATTCATTCGCTTAGTCCCCATCAGGGACTGACCGCTGTACGGTGAAGGAGCACAGGGAGATCAGACCAATCCCCACATCCAGAAGATCTCTGTGGGCTGAAGGCACACCTATGAGAACACCAAGGGACCAGAAGATGTGACTAAGCAGCCATAGAGGGCAGCACAGGGCTGTGGGCCTCTTCGTCTCAGTCTGGGTGCCCCCTGATACCCCCGAGAGCAGGATTCTAGACCAGTGGATTATTTGGAAAGCGTATCCATGGAGCGGAGGGAATTGGAAAAGTGAAGAGATAAAAGCTGGAACATGGGTGGGTTCTAGAGGTGACCACAAGAAGGCTCACTGAAGTTTGGTCTCAAAAGGATCTCCTAGGGGTTCATCTATTGCATCTTAATTGTCTGCCAAAAGGGATAAATGGGAGAAGCATTTCCTGCCCTCCCCCCACCACCACTCCTTTCTCCTATTGGTTGAGGGCAGCCCCCAGGGGGAGTGGGGGCAGGAAGCCAGAGGTTCCTGAATCTGGTCAAAGACCACACGGACTGTTTGCAAGAGTCCTGCCTGGAATCTGAGCGGAGGGGAGAGGATGTGAGGTGGAGGTGAGCCATTGTCCGGCCCTTCTCCCAGCCAGGTTAGCAGTGGCACTAGAGTCAAAGAAAACTCTCCAGCCAGATATCTGAGCAAAACCTGCCAGAGGGGATGGAAAATGATGAGAAAATAAGAGAAAGCACCCTAAGCAGAGGAACTTGCTCCCCCACCCCTGGGTGCACGTAGAGATTCCTCGAATGCGGGGGAGGGGCGGAGGCAGGGGAAGACGGTGCAGGCCTCCACCTGGTGGACAGTCTGGGCACCAAGATCAGCCAGGAAATGAATGGAAGGAATATTTGTAGGAGTGGAGGGAGAGGGAGAGTGTGTGTGTGGGGGGGTGTGGCTGGGGGACTGGTCAAGAAGAAAGTTCACACCATAAAGCAGGTCTGACACCCGTTTGGACCATAGCCTGTTGACTATCTTTGAGGGTCCTCTTCTCGTGACAGGTTTATTTTGGTGAAATCTCATGTTTCTCTGAGCACATTTTGTCTTCTACGACATTCTGTGGACCCTGATGAATGTCAGCGTGTGCTTGCATCTGTGTGTATGTGTGTGTGCACGTCATGATGACAAAGTGCAGACACTTTTTCATAACCATCTTCTTTCTGTAGCTGGTGGAGGCTGGATTTTAATAGAACAGAGTCCTCTTTTTTTAGAACAGTCTTCTGAGATGGAGATCACACATCTTTTGGCCCAAGCTATGTATAATCTTAGTTTAATTTCATCAACTTCAATGAACATCTTGTGTTTGTTTGTTGCTTTGCAAGGCTTTTTGTTTTTTTGTTGTTTTGGGGGTACTGGAGATTGAGTACAGGGGCACTTAACCACTGAGCCACATCCTCAGCCCTTTTTATTTATTTTTTATTTACAGACAGGGTCTCCCTGAGTTGCTTAGGGCCTCATTAAGTTGCTGAAGCTGGCCTCGAACTTGAAATCCTCCTGCCTCAGCCTCTCCAGCCACTGGGATTATAGGCATGTGTCACTGCACCCAGCTCAATGAACATCTTTTGATGATCAATGTGAAAACATTTTCATTTTAGAGTAAAAAAAACAAGTGCCCAGCATGTATCAGACATGCTTCTGTCAGTCTCTTCATCCTCGTGATATCTTCAGAAACTAGTAGGATTCTTGGCTCACGCAGAACAGATCTGAGGCCCGGAGGTGGCCCCACAGGGACTTGCTCTCAGAGCTGGGGCTGCAGGGACCAAGGGAAGCATGGGCAGGTGGCTGGTGAGTACAGAATGCTGGGAGGTGCTGGGAGGCACCCAGCTGGGCAGTTGACCTTCAGCCTCAACCCCTCTCTGGAGTCCACCTCACTCTCTGGGTCTCCTTGGGGCATCAGAAACTCAGGCAGACAGAATCTCCTGACAGGAGCCACATCACATTCCTGAGCTGGGAAAAGACAAGCCTGGAGAATCCTGGGGGAAATTTGCCTTTTTGCACATTAATCACACAATAAAGATATCACATTTACATATTTAGTGTTTATTTTTATTTTTATTTTTTTAGTTGTAGGTGGACACAATACCTTTATTTATTTATTTTTTTACCCAGTGCTGAGGATCAAACCCAGGGCCTCACATGTGCTAGGATTGTAGCTCTACCACAGAGCTACAATCCCAGCCTCACAAATTTACTTTTTATAGTGTGAATTTTTTGGTGTGAAAACCAAAAACTCATAACGAAGGTCAATGTCAAGGAGGTCTCTCCCATTTTCTTTTGTTGGTGTTTTATGCTTCAGATCTTACGCTTCAGACTCTTGTCCTTTTGGGTTTGGTTCTTGTGGATGGTGTAAGACAAGGGTCCACTTTCCTTCCTTCCTTGTGGAAATACAGTTTCTCAGTGGCATTTATTTAAGAGACTATCCATTCCCCATTGTGTCCTCTTGGTGCCCTGTGGAAAACTAGTTGACCATCCAGGTTCATAAATGAGAATAATTCAGCCGGCCATGGTGGCACAGGCCTGTAATCCCAGCGGCTCAGAAAGCCGAGGTAGGAGGATCACAAGTTCAGATCCAACCTCAGCAATTCATTGACACCCTAAGCAACTTGGCTGAGACCTGTGTCTAAACAAAATTTTTAAAAGGGATGGGGAGGGCTGGGGATGTGGCTCAAGTGGTAGCGCGCTCGCCTGGCATGCGTGCGGCCTGGGTCCCTGGGTTCAATTCCCAGTTTTAAAAAAATGGCGATCTGAAAAAGCCAATACATCAAAAACCATATGTTTAGCAAATCTAGGAGCCATTATGTCACTCTGTGAGGCACTGAAGAAGGATGCTACACATGTCTCGCAGAACCAAGGTTACCTGGAATCTGCAGGTGGACTTGACTTGCTTCTGCATATTATCCATTTCTTCATTTCCCCCCATGATTTAAACTTGCTTTCATCCGACAAGGCACCATCTTGACACAGTTTTATTTATTTATTTTTATTATATATCGTGTTTTTAATACAAACTTTAAAAAATCTGGAACAATATAAACTGTACAGAGTTGATCAATCTTGTTTTTAAACTAAATCTCTAACACACCAATGTCCCATTCCAAAATATTGCACAACATTCTGAATACAAAACACTTGACTGTATTCCTCCTTCACTAAAGAAAAAAAGTCATTACCCTGATACCCTGGCTCCTCTCTAGTTGCTTCAATGCCCCCTCCCACTCTTAGGGAGATAATTAGAAAATCTATAGCTCCCTGCATTGAGAAAAAGACATCATTCTGGATTGACACTTTACATTCTTCACAAGATAATCCATCTTTTGATTTGTTCCTGGGAAAGAGGGATAGATAGAGGATGGGGAAAGGGGAGAAAAAGGTTTATTCTCCTCTTTTTTATTTTAAAGTTTGTTTTTCCTGAAAAAAAAAAAATCAATTTCTCTCCTCTTTTTAAGAAAAAAACCTTGAAAAAAATTACAATTCTTATGTTAAAAATATACTTATATCATATATACCTCTTATATTTGACAAATGTAGCAAATTATTAAATACAAACGGACACCAAAAAATGTAAAAAATAAAAAATTCCTACGAAAACCAGGGAAATTAGTGCAGATTTTTGTTTGCTTTCTTAAAAAAAAATAAATAAATTTGAAGCAAAAATGCCTAGATTTGAGATGAGACAGACTGAACCAGGCCCAAAAGCCACTGAGCCATGCTCCTGAACACACATTACTCTTCATATTTCAAGAGACAGGAAGGGATTGGTCTCC